TATTATTATTATTATTATTATTATTATTATTATTATTATTAATATGGAAACTTCAATTTGTGCTTTTGTATTATATAAGAAATTTTTAAAATTAACGCGTAAATAGTATTTATTTATTACTTTAATACAATTTCTCCACTTCTTTTTTTATTCGCGTTATTATTATTTATTATTAATATATTTTCTCCCTCGTCAAATATGACGTCATAATTAAAACAAACCTAGTTATATGGAAATTACGAATATACAGAGGGAAATTGAGTGAATTTAAAAGATATATAATATTTAATATAATAGCTTTAATCTGTAGATTTGTGTGTGTGTGTGTGTGTGTATGTGCATTTGTAATTTCGTAAAAGCTTTCTACTAGTTTTGTCCAAACAAAGTGTAAAATGTTATATAATTGATTCATAGTGTAACCAACTTTACAATTTTCTTCTCTTTCTCTCTTGTTCGTTTAAAGCCTTCTAGACTAGAATGTTTTATAGCTAATATTTCCACAAGTTAAATAGCCTAAACTTTACATAGAGATCATAAGGATACAAAATTTCATCTTGATTGGACCAAGTTAGTACGTACTTAGGTGTTTTTACAAAATTGCAAGCCTACAAATTCAAGCTTTTATATTAATGAAAAACATAGAAAGTTCTAAAAAGTTTCTTATTTATTCAAACAATCCCATATTTTTATAATTAAAATAATAAAAACTTCTTTTTTGCACGTATATGTAGATTATCAAGCATCTATTTAATTGTGATTAAATAAAAAGTATGGTAATAAAAAAAAAAAAATCAATTACGATGCAACAAGTTCGTCTACGTTCGACAAATCGATTAGCCAGGAAAATATGAAGAAACTTTTTAACTTTACGACCCAATTAAATGAAACTTATTTTTATTATTATTATTATTATTATTTTAATCATAAATTTAACCAAAACTATTTTATAACAATAATAATTGAAACACGAGTATAACTAAAGGTAACATTTAGAAAATGCATTATGAAATACAGATTTAATTGAATTATAATGATGCACGCACGTGTGTTATACTTTGCAGGACGTATAATATACAGGGTGAGTAAAAATTAACCGAACACCAATATATGAAATATGTAAATCCTCTGTTGGATTTAAAGATATGAAGTATGTTTATAATAAAAATGATTTCGAAATACGAGCATGATTATCGTAATATTATTTTTATTTATTTAAATAAAATTCATCCTGTAAGATCTGTGTTGGTTTTATTTCATACTTTTTCGTGTGGTCATACATTTTTAAATCGTATAAATAAATAGGGTACTCGTATAAACGGTCAAACCATTTTTAAGTAGTACTACGTATACACATACATATATACATAAGAATCTCTTCTCTTAGAGATGAAATTATAAGACGTGCTTTCTCGGTTTCTCTTGGCAAGATAAGCACAAAATCCCGATCCAATTAAACGTGGATTGTATTACGGATAGGTAAGTAAGACCGATCGATAAAGGGCAATTCTTGCGAAACTACCTTAACCATAATTTTCTTTTTCACTCTTTCTATATTTCTTCTACTCTTAAAACACGATAAGGGCTACTTTAAAATGTCTCGAACATAAGTATTATAATTTTTGAAAGAATTATTTATTTTTTAATTATCGTACTTATACGATCGATTGGATAAACTTTGTTCGCGTTGAGAAAAAGGGAGAAATCGAAAAAAGATTTTTTTTTTATATTAATTCATTTCAAAAAACGCAATATTATTCATCTCTTGTATTAACTTAATCATATTTTTTATTTTTTATTCGAGAAAAGATAACGCTTTTTCTTATTTATTATACTTTAATTTAATTTTCTCTTTTTGTTTCATCCACTTTTAAAATTTATTTTCCCCTTTTCTTTCTACAAATCCAACATTTTATTGGAGAACGGAAGAACGGTTCTTGCGAGAATTCTTTTTATCTTTTTTTACTTACTTTATGTCTATCCAATTTAATATGTTCTATCGAAGCGGGTAAATGGGTATCAGTAGTTCATTAAAATTTTATCTTAAAGCCACTCTATATATATATATATTATAAACCTTTGTAGTTTTCTGGAGTGTCTGTCTACATCTCAGAAGAAAAATGTACGACGTTTCTTCTACAAACGAGAGCAAGGAGAATAAAATGAAGAAATTGTTTTTAGAATTTTTATTCGTAAATTAAGGAAAAGTTAGATTTTCATAATTGAATCTATTATTTGTCAGTTGAAAATATTTCTATGAAATTATTACTAAATAATTTACAACACTTTCTTGATAATTATTAATGATGTGAAAAGTTCTTTAGAATGAGGATGATTTGAAAAAATAAAACACTGCAGCGATGCAGCGGCCACGATACTGTGTGTGTTTGTGTGCGACTGCATACTACGAACCGTGGACTCATATAATTTTGATACTAAACCTGGTTGTAGGTAGGAACGATAGAAGGGTAGAAGAATAAACAGAGATAAGTGTGTAGGCGACAAAAGAATAAGGTACAAACGAACCGACGGTCAAAATAAAAAATCATAACGGTGCTTTTATATATATATATATATAGATGGTATATATGGTAACAATATTATAATAAATAAATTTTACAATTATCTTAATCTTTATACTCTGCATTCGTCTTATTCTCTCGAAACTTAGTTTTTTGAAGGTTTTCTGAGTTTTTTAAGACTCTTTGTGCGGTGCGTTGAAGAACATAACATAAATATACACATGATTTTAAGTCATGAATCGTTCTCCAAAAAAATTATGAACAACTTTTTAATCCTTTATTATTTTTACGACGATCATTAAATGTCTAACATTAATTAATTTCAATTTTTAACTATTTACTTTTCATATAAGATACTAAATATTATTCTAAAAATATATATTCTAGAATATATATAGAATATATATTCTAATATATTCTAATAATATATATATTATAATTAAAAAATAAAAATTTTTATATCTTTATTTATAAAAATATTACGCCTATAAGTATGCAACCCTCTAGATCCTCTTGAAAATGTTGCTTGAGAGCGCTATCTGTTGGGACGGATTTTTTTTCAGTCTAAACTGTTTATACATGCATGTATTAAGGGTTGCCTATGTTTCGGGCAGAAAAAAATTCCGTCCCAACAGATGGCGCTCGCAAGCAACATTTTCAAAGTGTATCTGGAGGGTTACGCATTTTTAAAATTATTAAATAAATAATTAGAAAAAAGTACAAAATAATATTATAATAATATTATAAAATAAATTATCCTACTCCTGATTACTATGCATTCGTCTAATTCTCTCGAAACTTGATTTATTAAAGATTTCACTTTTAACTTGTGTGATCTGCATACATATCTTTTTTTTTTTATTTATCTACGGTACGATAAATCAAATACTTTTAATATTTTTTTATGAAACTAATGATTTTGCTTGCATCTACGGCAAAATTCGTCAATGATTTATAATATTTTCCTACACGTGTATCTACGGTATAATTTGTCAATGATTTGTAAAGTATTTATAAAGTATGTACTATAATATGAATATATAATACAATAACATTATGCAATAGTGTAAATTTATTTTGAATACGTTTTAAATGGGCAGCTATGGAAATACGTTATGAAATGCGGATGCTATATAAAAACCGGTTTTATTATTTACAGCAAAAGGTCATCCACGTTTTAGTTCACGTTTTAAGAATCTACAAATTTATTCTCAAGAAACATTCACTGAAAAACGATAATACCTGTTTTTTTACTCATAGCATATATTTTCCATCGAAACCAAATAAATTTTATCGATAAATAAAAAAAAGAAAAAATAAAAAATATCATGCGTGCAGATCACACTTGTTAGAAGTGAAACCTTCTTAAAACCAAGCTTCGAGAAAATGAGTCGAATGCAGAGTATCAGGAGTAAGATAATTGTAGGGTTTATTTACTACAATATAAAAAAAAATGTCATGTGATTGATTTTCAAAATAGTTCCATAAGTTTACAAAAAAATTAGTCAACGATCGAGGACTCAAGTATTTTTTTAAAAATTTCAAAAATAGGCACGGACGAAATTATTGATGCTGTAGTTGAAATCGGCTATCATCATGTCAAGGACTGTACAAAGAGCAAATGTAAACCTGTTTCGCCTAAAGGAAAATTACGCCCAATTAATTTTTAACTCAGGAATGCGATAAACCTTTGCATTAACCACTTGCGTTACAAGCGTCGAGATGTCTTAGTTTCAAAACTGCGCGTAACGTGTACACCACGTCGATAGGCGTTTATTACAAAAATGAATATGAGGTGGTCTATACGTCGTGTAACAACGTACTCTTGCTAAAATTTGTATAAAACTGTAACAGTATTTTAACGTGATTCTACATCTGAACATTTGAAAGACTTAAAAAAAAACTTAATAAAATATACTTTCACTTATCCGCTAATGTCCTAAAAATCGAATAGTCTGTAATTTTTATATTTTAATAAAAAAAAAAAAAAAACAATTGTTACAAAAATACTTTTAGTTTGATAGTATGAATATTATTATACAATAAATTTAATTTTTTTCTCGTATTTTCGTATTGTAGCGAGCAATAGATTAATGGTTACTGTAAAAGTTATGGTGATAGTAGAAGCGATGAATTTTAGGTAGGGATGAATTTTAAGAAAGGACGGCAGTCTATTTAATCTTCGGCAATCTAAAAAAAGTTTTACTTCAGTTTGGATTGTGTGATTACTTTTTAATTGTATCTAATTCTTTTACGTTCGTCGAGGATTATTAATTAAGTATAGTCGCTCGTTTATATTTTCAGTTTAAATATTTATATAATTATTATTTTCTATTATTTTGCAATATTTTTGTTATTCCAATTGTATAACAAAAAAGACATTTTTTAAAAAAGAGAAAATAGACGGAGAAGTAGATATTTTTTAACTAATATTATAGAGGAGTAAAAAAAAATTCAACAAAATTAACTAGAACAGCATAACACAGTAAAAATGGCACGTTCAGGATTTCAATTTCTCCAGTATTTTGCAGTATTTATTTTGTTTTTTAATTATTGTACGGCAAAGGAAACGAAAGAATGGAGAATACATACATTGCCAGTATATGCAATGCTAGCATATTCAGAAATTTTAAACTCAACTGAATGTGGCAAAGAACTTACAGAATTTCGACAAGCCATTGATCAATACTTATTATGGAGTTTAAAAGGTAAGTGAAAGCTATGAAAAATAATTTTTATTATTTGAGATTTTAAATATTATTGAAAATCTCATCATAAGCCGCACATAAAAATTAAATTCGATAAACAAAAGGATGAATTTTTTATTTTATTCCTTTTTGTCAAGTAATCGACGCTAGCGGCGAACCCACGCCAGGATTCATTTATGGAAATAATTATTGGTTGGGTAGCAAAGACCAGTGCGAGGATGTAGGAAATAGAAATCCTTTTATGTTATCGGAAGAGATGCTACAAAACAATTCAAAATTTCGTCATATCGAAGATGAATTTCCACCTTTTGAAGTGAAATTCTTTGTAGCTAATTTTCGACATAACAGCACTTTACAATATCACTTTGTAATACCTGACGAAGTAAGTTTCTATCAAAAATTAAATAAGTGATTTTAGAAATTTAATCAAATCTTTTAATTTTCTTTTATAGGATTTAATAATATTAGGTATGTGCTTACCAGCATCATGTTCGAAAGATCAACTTTTTATTCTTTTAGAAGTCTTGATGAGAAATAGAACTCTTTTCAAAGGCGAACTATATTCAGCCGACTTCTCATTGGTTGAAGTAAGAGATCTTATCGATGACCATGTCTGGTTGTTAAGTGGAATATTCATCACAATGACGTATATAAACAATTCTTTTATAATTAACAATAGTTCATTATGAAATATACAATATAATTATATATATATATTGTTGTTTTTGTTCTTTTTTAGAATAATAGTCACATTTACAATCCTATTAGTGATAATAGGAACAACCTACGATGTTCTGATAAACCAAAAACGGGTAAAGAAACATTATAGGTACATTCAAGACTGTGACAATCTTCAAGCGATAGGTAAGTTTATTTCATAATTTGTAACACTTCTTTTTTTAACATACTTTTGCGATAGTATCATTTCATAAAAAATCCTTTCTACATACCCTATCATCGCATGAGGTACAATTTCTATATGTTCCTGTAGTCTATACAGGACTTTTGCAAACTAGAGATACTTGTGTAGGTGACTAGTAACAAAACGTTGGTTATAGTTATTAGTTATTGATAAACAAATAATTATTTAATATCATAATGTATATTATTTTAGATTATCCACAAACGCAAAACGATAATGATAATAGAACGATGACAAACGATAATGATGAAATAGAAAAATTAAAAGACCACAGCTTTTTTTGTAAAATACTCCTAGCTTTCTCCGCATATTCGAACTCGAAAATAATATTTAGAATGGAATTGGATAATAATAATGTACTGGTTATACACGGATTAAGATTTTTTACAATGATATGGATAATTATGATACACACATTCTTTTATTCGAGAAATTATTATGGTAAATTACTAATTATTATGATTTTATTTAATTTGTATTAATACAAAAGATTTCATTTAAATTGATTATGATTTTCTTTATTATTTTACTTACAATCTATCATGTTTATTTAAAGACAATAAATCAGCTTTTACAAGAAAATTAGAGGGTTTTTTCGAACAAATGATATTCAATGGATCCGTTTCATGTGATACATTCTTATGTTTTGGTGGTTATCTTATCACTTACTTGTATTTAAAGAAAGAAATGGGCAAAAGTATACGTAAACCATATAATTATTTACATATAATTAAATTATATTTTCTCTTTCTCCTAAAAAGGTTTATGAGGTAAGACAATTTTTATTAATGCTAAATTTTTAAAATATCAGGAATAATTTATGCATAAGTTTAATTATAAAAATGATATGAGAAATTTCGTTATATCAATAATAGAGTAATATTTTTGTTAACCTGTATATTAGTTGTTCGTAAATATGATCCTTTGTTTTGAAGACCCGTATATGCCTGGACAATAAAATAAAGTAGTAAAAAAAACTTGTTTAAAAAAAAAACAAATAAAATATACCTGTTACGGGTAATTGCAGAAAATGGCATTCTCATGTAATATGACAAGTCGTCCTCTATCTTAAACTTCAAAAAAAAAAATTATTTTATTACAATATTGTGTCTTAATATTAACGCTTTAAAATAAAAATTAATAGTTTAACGAAAACAAATAAAACAGAAAACTTCTTTCACTTTGGAAGTCATTAATATTTATTTTCTGTTAATATTTTCAATATTTGTTTAAACCACAGAATTAAAAATTAAAGAAATATGTTTATCATATCGAACTTTTAAAAACGGAGTATTAAGGGTTTATTATAACTCAAAATGAAAAATATAATAATTTTACATACATCTCATTTATTTTTTGCTACTTCTGCTATTTTAGATTGACACCTACTTACATGATAATAATAGGATTATTGCAAATAAATATAAAGTGGTACAGTAAAACTTCCCTCTTTTCCATAACGGAACGTAACCACGAAAATTGTCAAAATTATTGGTGGAGAAACCTTCTTTATATTCAAAATTTCTTTAGTTTACAGGATATGGTATAAACGATTTCAATAGTTTTAGCATAAAACATACTATTAGGTATAACATTTCTGATCAATATTAATCTTTGCAGTGTATGAATTGGAGTTGGTACTTAGCAATCGACATGCAATACTTCGTGATTTTAATTTTCCTGTTAATCTTATCTTCAATGTAAATATCTGTACTTTATAATTAACATATTTGTATATAAAAAAAAATTTTAAAGCTTAAACAAAAACATAAGTAAACATAATTTTATTCCAGGTACTTCAAAGTAGCAGCCAGTTTGTTGGGTCTGTTGTTTACCTCATTGTTAATCTTAACAATCTATTTAGCCTACATTTATGATTCTGTTGCAACGTAAATATCAATAATAATAATTATACATCTGATAAAATTTCGCACTTTCATTATTAGCGACTTACATATTAGTCGACCATGTAATAACTAGTATATACAACTGGTCAATCAATTAATAGTTTTATTCAGCAATCAATATTTACAAGCGAATTTTAATAGAATGATACTTTTTACAAAATACGCTGTAATGAAAGTGTTGATTAATCAAATAAATTAACGTTTTATTGAATTATAGATTGGACAGTCAATACAATCTTTCAAGAGTAATGTACTATTCACCATTCGTTAGAATAGGACCTTATTTCGTTGGTGTAATTACTGCATATATTGTTTTTAAATTAAACAATAAATTAAATTGCAATAAGGTAAACAGATTAAACTAATCGTTTGTTGCTTCAAACATTTTTTATGATCACAAATTCTTATCGATGATATTAATGTTTATTTTAATGTTAATAATTGATTTTAGAAAATAATATTACTGTTTTGGATACTCGGCAGTTTATGTAATTTATTAATAATATTTGGATTATATAAAAATAGAATGTCAGTTCTACCTTCTGCTTTCTACATTGGTCTCGGTAGAACTATATGGGCAATTGGTATAGCATGGATAATTATAGCATGTTCTACAAATAATGGAGGTATAAATAAATATTTGATTCGATTTTTTAATTAGATAATATTACTTACTAATCGTTATTGATTAAAAAATTTTATATTTTAGGTATAGTGAATCTTATTCTTTCGTGGAAAGTTTGGAAACCATTTAGTAAATTAACTTATTTAGCCTATCTTTTACATCCCATTCTTATAGTTTCCTTTAACCTTTTAAGTAAATCTTCCCTGCACTTTGAACCTCTACCAAACGTATGTATTATACTATCTTGTTTGATTATATAGATAGATTAATATGAAATTTAATTAAATATCATTATATTGTTTTGTTTTCTTTTTTAGGGACTTTCTGGTTTAGGATACGTAATTATAACTTACATATGTTCTTACGTTGTTTCGTTGATGTTTGAAATGCCGTACGCTTTCTTGTTGAAGGAGTTGATGAGCAAAAGAACATGATTCTTTTTTTTTCACTTTTTCGATAGTATTTTTACATTGCAAGATCACAAAGAAACTACAATCATTACTATGATACATAATTTACTTTAAACCATTATTTATATTTTAGCTAGTAAGTCTGTTGTACTAGTTAATAAGTCTGTGTTAGCTACCAAGTGTACATTCAGTTTTTAATACTAAGTTTTAATGTAGTGTAATTAATATTTTTATTTAACTAATATGCGATAATTTTTGCTTTAAGTACTGAAAATAAGTCTTGTTTGTCTTTTGCTTAGTTTACTGAAATTTAGATTGCTGAATATTTATCATAAAAACTGAAAATAGCGGTAACCTGTCTTTTATGCGAATTACTGAAAATAGTTTCAATTGGTTTTATATATACTAGTGATTAAATATTACTCTTTGTTTAACTGTTCTACCGCGAAAAAATTTGACGTTACAATATACTAAAAATTTGGAATATCAAGGAAACTATACTTACAAATATTAAAATAGACAAATGAAAACCAAGTTCCTATTAATTTAGTTTTTTTCTTTGTTCTATCTTAAACGAAATGCGTGGATAGACCTTGAAAGATTTAGGTCATTCGTTATGAATATTGTAATATATATACTATAATTATGAAAATAAATAATGCTACATACTTGTAGCGAGTTTAAAAAAATTAATATTTTTTTTTAAATAACATACACTGATAATTGTCTAATTAATACGAATTATTAAGTTTTTCTAACCATCGATTGATGAGTGATTCAACTTTTTTCACATTTGCCACACATATAGTGTTTCAAGAAAGTACATACAGTGTTGTACGAAGATTTTTTGAAAGAAACCGTGTTATAAGATACCGTGTTGTAGGAGGGCTACCTGTATATGCAATGTAATTATTTGTACCGATAACTATATATATATATATATATGTAGGAACATTACCTACAATTTTACTTACCGACAGTTTTATTTTATCATAAATTCTCTGCGCGTTTTCAAAAACTGTTTTACCATGCGTAATGAAATCGTTTTTATCGACGTATCTCTAATACGCACCTTCATGAATCTACGTTTAGTTTTCATCAGATACAAACATAACCTCTTTGTGCTGAGCATAAGAAAACTAAATACCAGGTAAAGAATAATAACAAATAATAAAAATGTCAGAAGATAAAAAAGATAATTCAACGTTGTCTGAATTGTTTGAAAATGCATTTAAATTATTCAATAATATTAATAAAACAGATGAGCCAACTAATGCACCAAAAGTACAGGTAATTAAAATAATTAAATATATAATATTATTACTGTTTTTTAAATCTCATATAAAAAATATTCATGTTTAAATTAATTATACCCGTTTAGTCTGACATTAAGAAGGCAATGAACATGTTTGAAAATTTAACAAGATTTGTATCTGTGGTAGACATGTTTAGCGAAAATGAAACTGTCGATGAAATAGCAACGGAACATCTCAAGTATCTTTTATTACCAGCTCTTCTTGGTACTCTAATTACTAAAATATGTGGTACCAATGACAGAATGCATCTGATCAAAGTAGCGGAGATCTACTTTGTTGATTTTCTAAAAAGACTTAAAGCTTACGGTATTACAGACATAAATATTCCTGAAGAAAAATCAGAACAAGAAAATGGTAGTTCTAACGCCAGAGTCAAAAGTAATGCTGAGATGATTACGGAAATGGTAATTTTTAATTTTATTATTTAACTTCAATAACAATCAATATAGATAGATTATTTACTTATTGATCATTTATATTCTCTAGGTTTCTTGTAGAAATACAAAATTACAAAGATACCAAGAACAAAAGGAATTAGAGTCTCGTTTAGACACATTGCAAAAAAACTTGGATAATCCAAACATTGATGATGAAACTAAAAGGGAATATTTTATGGCACTTTTAAAATTATACGTAATACAAACAATTGATGAATTGAGTTCGATAGCAGCGGAGAAACCTATATTGGAATATATGCAAAAGATGGGCCCTTCAGAAACCATGACGAATCGTTCTTCGCAGAAATTCAAATCATCTGCTAGTAAACTTCAACCAATTATTATCACACGAAATGAACTCCAAAAGAAAGTTTACGGTGCTGGATATCCAAGTCTTCCAGTTTTAACGGTTCAAGAGTTTTACGATCAAAGAGTTAAGGAAGGAGAGTAAGTATCGGATTCTTTTTTCTAAAAAAAATAAAAATAAATTAAACCTAATTGAAAACTGACTGAATTCTTTTCTTTTACAGTTGGCCTGATCAATCGCAACGTAATCAAATTAATTCTAAATGTCTTCAAGATATAGCTAGCAGCGATGACAATGAAAATACACAAGAAGACATTGAAAATATAGAAAAGGAAGAAAAAATAGAACAGGATGACCCAGAACTTTTGGAACGAACTCGTGCTATGGATGAATACAAGGATACGCATCATCGAGGATGGGGAAATCGTGCGAATAGAAGTTAAATCCAAAATCACATGTATTAGTATAGATAATACAAAAGAATAAAATTATATAAGTAATAAATAATTAACTACAATATGTTATGCATTGCATTATACTGAGTTATAATATTTTATGTTGCAGATTATTGTATATTATATTGTATTATATCGTGTAATAATTAATATGATTAGATAAATATCTGTAGAAATTACAAAACATAAAGTATTTCGTACATTTTAATGAAAGCAACAATAAAAATATTAATCGTAACTATTTATTAATTGAACAATTGTATATTCATTAATTTATTCAAAAATAATATTAAATAACATTTGTCCATTGAAATTTACTTTGTAGTTTTCTAATCGATAAAGTAGGAATCCTGAAATCATGGTGTTTTGTGTATTGTTCATGGAAAGAAGTAATATCATATTAAGTATTCAAGATTGGGAAAGTTATTGTGCCTATTGTACCCGATAATGTTTCATGTAAGACGAATTTCTTTTCATTTAATTAAATAATTATTATAATAATTTGTGATTTATGAAAATATTTGATCAAACATGATAAAATATATTTCTTACCTCTCAATAGTACAATTAACATTTTTAAAAATTTATTTGTATGTATTTTTAAATATTTTCTTATTTCACTAGAAAAACGTGAAATAAATATTTAATAATAAATTATGAAATACTAATTATATATACAAAGAATTTGTATAATTTAATACATTTAGGTTAGATCAAGTTCCTATATTTTTGTAAACTGTATAAAATATAATGGCAATATATTAAATGTATTTTAATTATTTATTTCTATTTGGATACTTCAAATAGTATTAGCATTAATTAATATTCTTTATATTTGACTAAAACATTTAGTTTATAGTCGTTGAATTTTAATATTATGCCTATTAGCATCAATGACCCAAAGATCTAAACTTTTGAAACTATTATTACCTATTTATAAGTCCATAAGATTTGAATTTGAAGTATTTAACTATTATTTAATAAATGTTTTTAGATGTTACATATTCTTGATTGTAAATAACAGATTTCATATCTAATTTTAGAAGTTATAACAAGACTTGCATTTAACTGAATCATGAGATCCTTCGTATAAAAAAAATTAGTTGCGGACTAAACTCTAGAGATAAGCAATCACGCTCATTACATGTAGCATTTATTATTTGGTAGATGTTGCAATCTCCAACCAAAATTGTTTCATTGCGATGACCTGACCCAATCATTAAAAGGAGAATAATGATAGCAAAAGTCATAATGTTTTGATAAACTTACATGATATATTCTCATGTAAAATATTTAAGAAGAAAAGCCACATGAATAATTCAGTCAGTAGCAAATTATCAATCTTAAGTTGATCGAGTTTGGAATAAGAAAAGGGGGAAAAAAATGATCGATTGAAAGTGCGTTTCAACATGTTACCAAGATTAAGAAGAATATGTCGTTTTTATACGATAGTTATCACCGTTGTAATAATTATTGGAATATTCATAGTTTGGTCTAAAAATAAAGAAAAATCTGACAAACGGTCTAATGATTTTGTTCCTTTACGGTATGTAATATTCTTTTTCAATATTAAACATTATTTGATTATATATTATTATATATTGATTATAATTATTTGATTATAATTAAATAATTATTCTTATTTATTTCTAGTCTTTTAAATGATCAAAAAGATTATTTGGATCGTCAAGGTATTCATGTGGTAGTCGGTCATTACATAGGAGATTCTGTAGACCCACTGAAATCTCCTAACATAACTAAAGGTGAGTAAAATATTTTCATCCTTATCTAAGACCATGAACAATTACATATAATATAAATATTTTTTCTTTCAGAAATTATTAATAAAAATATGTTTAATCCTCGACCATTTGAAGGAAGAAATGGAGAGCCAGTAATAATACCGTCTAAGGATTTTTTTAAAATGCAACAACTCTATCAAATAAATCGTTTTAATTTAATGGCAAGCGATAGAATACCATTGAATCGTTCTTTACCCGATGTAAGAAAAAGAAGGTAAGCTATAAATTGTAATATGTATTTGTATAATCCTATCATTGTCTTTAAAATATTTTTATTTACTGATAGATGTATTGCGAGGTATAAAGATGTAGTTGATCTTCCAAGAACGTCAATAATTATAGTATTTCATAATGAAGCGTGGAGTACGTTATTAAGGACAGTTCATAGTGTCATTAACAGATCGCCTAAAGAATTATTGGAAGAAATAATACTTGTTGATGACAACAGCGATAGAGGTAATAATTAAAAATGATCGTTTTAAATATGCATGATAACATTTATCAAACATGTTTGTTACAGAGTTTTTAAAAAATTCATTGGATGAATACGTAAACACTTTAAGCATTACAACTCGAGTACTTCGTTCAGAAAAGCGGATAGGATTGGTAAATGCAAGACTTTTAGGAGCGAAGGAAGCTAAAGGTGAAGTTTTGACTTTTCTCGACGCCCATTGCGAATGTACGGTTGGTAGGTAAGCTTTTGAATTTGATTGGGTTAGTTTTCAAAAGTTATTCAAATTATAATAATATATAGCCTAATTAAATTATTTGATTTTTAGGATGGTTAGAGCCGTTATTGGAAGCAGTATCAAAAAATAGGACTCGCGTTGTGTCTCCTGTTATTGATATAATCAATGACGATACGTTCAGTTATACACGGTACGTTTTATTTATAAAAATCTATTAACAATCATTCTTACTAATTAATATTTACTTTTTATATAGATCATTGGAACTACATTGGGGTGCATTCAATTGGGATTTGCATTTCCGTTGGTTAGCATTGAATGGCCGATTATTGAAAGAAAGACGCGAGAACATGGTTGAACCCTTCAGAACACCAGCAATGGCTGGTGGATTATTTTCCATGAATAGAGATTATTTCTTTGAATTGGGCAGCTACGACGATCAAATGCGAATTTGGGGTGGAGAAAATTTAGAACTTTCGTTTCGCGTTTGGCAATGTGGCGGTAGTATAGAAATAGCACCATGTTCTCATGTTGGTCATCTTTTCCGAAAATCATCACCCTACACGTTTCCTGGTGGTGTCGGTGAAATACTTTATGGAAATCTTGCCAGAGTGGCTTTAGTCTGGATGGACGAGTGGGCAGAATTTTATTTCAAATTTAATCCTGGTTAGTAATACAATTATACTTTATATGTACTTACCTAATTTTGTATATTAATTGACAATTAATATTATTTTGTAGAGGCAGCTAGAATGAGAGACAAACAACAAATTCGATCAAGATTAGCGTTGCGAGAAGAATTAAAATGTAAGAATTTTGAATGGTACTTGGATAACGTTTGGCCCGAACATTTCTTTCCGAAGGACGATAGATTTTTTGGCAAGGTATTAAATTAGATTTTATTTACTTTTTCGTTACTAGTGACCGATATATAAGGTCATAGGTTACTAGACCACATATATAGTATATACAAGCTAATTTATATGGAAAAATAATACTTGTGTTATGATTGTAACTAAAGGGTTGATTATTTATATTATAATTATATTTTATTTGATGTATAATTAAAGGGAATTATTTTTGTACGCAGATGATACACGTAGCTACGAAGAAATGCATCATGCGTCCTCTGTCAAAAGCTTCGTATTCGCAACCTTCGGCTTATGCCGTTCTCGAACCGTGCTTACAACATTCGATACTCGCTCAAATGTTCGTCATGACTAAAAGTGGCGTGGTAATGACGGACGAAAGCGTTTGCTTGGATGCACCTGAGCATGATACGTTACATACAAGGCCAAGAGTAAAGATAATGGCTTGTAATGGTCTCGACAAACAAAAATGGCGATACGATGAAAAGGTAAGAATAATGAATAAATTATAATATATAATATATTTAATTTCTTTTTTTTTCTTTCTAATATTTCAAAATAATGTAGACTAATAAATCATTGACCTGCATTTAATATAATGATTTATTTGTATTTTTTATTCTTATTAATTTTTATTTTATTGTTCAGAAAAAAATACTTTTACATACGTCTTCCGAAATGTGTCTTCAATACATGAACGATACGCAAGAGGGTCTTGTAATAGCTGATTGTAATGGAAACATTGAACAACAATGGTCATTAGAATCCGTCCCGTGGAAATAATCAGTATTTTCGCACAAATTAATATTAAACAATGTATACTTTCTCTTCTAACCAGGGGACACTAACTTATATAGACAAAATATACGAATCTTTGATAATATTTTTATTACATAGCTATTCTTTTTTTGAATAATAACTTTTAAGTTACTAACATAAGACTGACTTTCTTATAAGAAACAAAATGATTAAAAGGATTTTGATATATTATTGGAATATTTACATCTTTTACGATGTAATAAAAGATGTATATACATCTGTTTACGATGATTATGTGATGTCTTTATTGTTAAACAAATCATTGACCATTTGTTATAATGTAATAAATCCCTTTATCCCTCCCCTCAAAATATGACAATAACCATTAACTCGAATGGACTAAATTTTTATATCCTTTTTATTCATTTGTATCAATCATTTAAATTCATTCCTACCAGTTACAATAAATTAGTTCGTTTCACGATACTACAGGGTTCTAAGTATCAAGGATAAAAATATGAAAGCGTGACGCGTTTACCATTTATAAAAAATAAAAAAACAGAACATTTCCGTGTCATCGAGTCTCAACATCGCGTGAATCTCATCGATGATCAGACAAATGATGCGTCCGTGAGAAAAAGAAGAAAGATCACTGTGCAGCATCGAAGGTAGCAATTACAACGTCCTTTTGTACGAAAGAAAACATCGCGTTCTCATATATTGAGTCGGATAAAAAGTTTTCTCGAATTTTCCCGATAAATCGTATAAAATTGATAATAATTAAATCAATCGTATCTATCAACACTCGCGATACTATCGATATGGAACTTAAACGTCAAGCATAAAACAATTTTAAAAATCATTCATAAAAATTTGAAACAAGATTATATCAGCCTGTTTATTATTACTATTATTATTATTATTATTATTATT